GCTAACTGCGTTTGACGTTTCGTCATTGGGTATAAACTCGCTCAAGCGATAAAGTTATCGCTCGAGCGACGAAGCCTTCAAACAAGGGAGACTCTCGGGTTCTATCTCGCTCAAGCGACTTTTTGAACGCTTGAGCGAAAAGTGATTCTAATATGTGGTAAACCAATTTAAATTATTTGGCTAACTGCGTTTGACGTTTCATCATTGGGTATAAACTCGCTCAAGCGATAAAGTTATCGCTTGAGCGACGCAGCCTTCGAACAAGGTAGACTCTCAGGTTATGTATCGCTCAAGCGATGTTATGACCGCTCGAGCGAAAAGTGGTCGATTATAAGTGGTATATGATCGGTTATATTTTGCTAATGAAGTCAAATCCGTTATTGACAAAGTATTGGGTGTCAAGGACCTTTGGGGCTATGACCTCCTTCGTGGTCATAGTTTGGGTACTTGAAGAAATCGCTTCTGAGTGGGTGCGCTTGGAGCTTTTTCTTTCGCCAGCCATGGTTTATGTTTACTGACGATTGAGATAGTCAACGAGTGAACCAAAACGAGAGAACGAGAGAATGTGCGAGTAATTAGAACGAGAACCCTATATTAAACATAGACGAACCAGAGCTGGGAGAGAACGAACGTTTCTTTTGGGTGCGCCGGCGAGACAGATGCAGAGTGGTATATGATCGATCATTCTCAATTATAATCGGTTATCGAAAGTTATGATCGATTAGTGTCCAATTATAGTCGATCACTTTGACATATATGACTTTAGATAGCGGTTATTTGGCTAACCGCTATCTAAACTATATTTATTATAGCGTTCCCCGAGCAAACCGCTCTTTAAAAGTATGATATAAAAGAGCGGTTATAAAAAAACCGCTATTATAAAGATACATTAGACAGCGGTTTACGCGTAACCACTATCTAATATATATTTTTAAAAGCAGTTCTGACTAACCGCTATCTAAGGTCCCTCAAAACAATGGGGACACTCGGGATCAGTCGCGCTCAAGCGACTATGTAATCGCTTGAGCGATGGAACGTTAACCATAGGGGACCCTCGGGTTCTGTCTCGCTCAAGCGACGTTATGAAGGCTTGAGCGACAAGTGTTTCTAATATGTGGTGATCCAAGTTATATTGTGTTGGCTAACTGCGTTTAACGTTTTGTTTTGGGTCAATACTCGCTCAAGCGACAGGATCATCGGTTGAGCGAATCTTATATAAGGTGAACCAAGTTATATTATATGGCTAGCTGTGTTGGGCGTTTCGTTAGTGGACCAACACTTGCTCAAGCGACGAAACCATCGCTTAAGCGACAGAACCTTCAAATTTCAATCTGTTTTTTGTTAAGCGCATTCTTTACAACTATTAAACATGAAGTTATCTATTATGTACAAAGATGATACGTAAACCTATACATCTTTCCTACAATAAATCTTGTCACTTGTACAATTTCCATATGCTAGTTTATATTGTTCTCTTCCCTTGTTCTTTTAATCTGAATTTCTTCTTTTATATTACATATCAACATCTTGCCATCAGAAATTCAAATGGAAATTAATGACCATTTTGTGGGTGGTGGCCATGCTCCATATATCATCCAAGCATGTGGTATGAGGATAGTTCTACCCTTATCAACCAATCCAACATGCCCTTTAACAACTAATACTATAGAGGAGCATCCTCATTTCATATGTTCGTAACATATAAATGTGGTAGTAATTACATGTATTTTGTACATAATATTTATAATGTCATAATATTTAACATTTAAATGATCCATAACCAACTTAACAGTTATATTACATATGAATAAACTGTACAACATTCATCAATGAAGATGAACAAATAATCAAATACAATATCTAAATTTCTATTCCTACATGAGGATGTTAACTCCTGATTCAATAACCATGACTTGTTGATGAAGATTTTGAGGATGAAGTACCCATCTGCATACATATTCTTCTCGAAATTTCTGAACTTGCTCCTGTAGAATATGAAGAATGTCATAATAAATTATATTCATAGTAATAAAAAACAAAACAATAATACAATGACTTTAATGTTTACCGATGTGTAATGAGGCATGCTTTTCCCATTCACTTTGCTCACACCATCCCACAACTCCATATATTTTAAAACAAACAATCCACAATCATACCTGCACAATTGAATGTAGTTATTACACACGTTATATACAACATTTTGCAAACAAAATTTCAACTATAATAACATACTAACATGTTTGGTTGAATTGGCAAGTCCTCCTTTGTAACCTTAAGTTCTCCAGTGGTCCTCGATGACTTTGTTTCCAACAACGACAATAGATGTTCAAAACATTACAACTGTTCACAATATTACATTATTCACCAAATAAACATAGCTCTGAATTAACTATATTACCTACGTAAACAACTTAAAAAAAATATTTATCATAGCTCTATCATTTGGTTTTTGTGATCTATTATCATCACCCAACGAATCTAATATAAACAGTTCTCTATTCTTACATTTCAGCACATAACATCACCAATGACCATTGTGTACAGTGGGAGCAAAAATCGAAATAGAAAAAACTCCGGTTAATTGAATTTTATCTTGACAAAAATATAAATTTTAGGCAAAGTATAAATATTCACAAATTCACAACTTAATAACTGCTGCAATGGAATAATTGTATTTGGATAGAAAAGTGAGAAGTCTTTCATTGTCCACGTCGATGTGTTCCCTTTGCGAATATACATTTGTTCAATCACTTGTGTCTATCAAAAGGCACAAAAATAAATGACAATCAATGATAATAAACCTATGTGCAACTTAACTTTTTAAATGCACAATAAACATACCGCAAACAAAGGATTGAAACGTGGTGTAAATCTTGTGCATATTATACAAAATGTTTGTCATGCAAATACAATTCTTCATTGTAGCATTTCATCAAACACTTGTTGGACATTAATATAGCATCACAACTCAATTAACCCTAAACCCTACATAATACTTTCATTACAAACCCAATCAAAGATAAACAGAAAACAAAGCAAGAATGCGCAAATACAATTCTTCATTATAGCATTTCATCAAACACTTGTTCGACATTAATATTGCATCACAACTCAATAAACCCTAAACTGTGAAAAAAACCTTCATTACAAACCCAATCAAAGATAAACAGAAAAGAAAACAACAATGGAAACCCAATCAAAAATACACACAAAATCAAGCAAATGTTGTTAAACGAACACTCACCACCGCAGGGTCGCTCAAGCAACAAACAGTGATGTTCAGCTCCAACGACACGGACGAAGCCAAGCAACAGGAAGTCGAGCACCATGAAGAGCGAGATGGAGAAATTTTACCCTAAGTCGAGGGAGAAGAAGTCGAGCGAGGAAGAGCGCGAATGTGAAAAACGAAAATCAATGACACTTCTTCAAACGTTTCACTTTTTACAATAACATCTCCCATTTTTACAATATTACATCTTTACCCGTCTACAATTTTACTAATCAAACCCTTATTTTTAATTAATTTCTTTTTAACCCCGATTATAGACAGAATGTTTGTTTTCAGTTGTGAAATAATCGTTTTACTACTTATAATCCATAATATCTATAATAAACTAGTCCACCCATCCCGCTTTTGACGGGAGAAAGCTGGGACGTGATGCAGTGACCAGTTTTCCCATCCTAATAAAGAACATTTGCTTGGATCAGGCGAGGAGAGAGAAGCGTTGTTTATAGAAATTTTTTTTTTTCTTTTTTGTTTGTTCTTGTCGGTAGAAAGCATGTTTCACGAGGAAAAAAAAAGTATTTTTCTACACAGATAGTGAATGTTTTATATAATTTAATTATGTTTTTAATATTTTATTAATTTTTATATAATATACTGTGACATAATTGATAATAATTTAAATAATTAATTTTATGATGGATAATTTATAAATAATTTTATTTTTTCTTTTCTTAATTTATTATAACAATATTAATAAATAATTAAAATAATAAATAAAATTATTAATAACAAATAATTTATATCCTTTTTATCTTCTTCTATTTAATTTAAATAATTTTATCATCACTACTTTTTTTTACATTTTTCTTATTCTCTTACTCTTCATCATAAAATTACTACTATTTTGTTTTTGTTTTTCTTTTCCGTTTAAAAGAAGAATCTCATGCTATATTTTCCTCAAATTTTAACCGACAAATGAGTACAAACGAGGACAATAATATTGTCGCAGGGGCATTCGAAAAGCAAAATGTAATGCTAAATCTGACTGTAAAGCTAATACGCCAGGCGATGATAACTTCAAAATATAAATGACGTTTTGTGTTACTAATTTTCAGTTTAGTAGTATATGCCTAGTTAAATTTTAAAGTTTTAGTCATGTTAATAAAAACTTAATTAAGAAAAATATTCTCATTATTTTTCGAGGCAAATAAAATTATATCTTCTAAAAAGATTTATATAATCCAGAAGAAGAATAAAGAGAAATTTATTTCGCTTATCAAATTACATTCCGCTAGTCACATTGAGTTTTAAGTGATTCAACGAACAAGCCGGAGTACTAAAACTTAATTAGTAGTATTTTTTTTAAAGTTTGTAACTAATATATATTTTAACTCATAATCACAGACTATTTTGTAAGTATAAAAATGATTGAATTAAATTTTGTATGTTTTAAATAAATTTTTCTCTGTTAATGTATACAAAAAAAAAAATTCTAAACTCACCATAAATTAAAAAAATTAAAAATCAAACTATCTATCATATATAACAGATCCTTTTAGCAACCACAGATTATAAGCACAAAGGACAACCAAAAGAAATAATTGCCTAAAAATATATAGACTTGCACAAATATAAAGAGATATTTGGTATTCAGGAGATAGATAATTCTTAGATTTGAAAGATATCATGAACAGCATTTAAAAGATAGAGAATAAAGTGAAAAACTACTAGGTGTGACCTTTCACTTCAAATTGGTTTATGGTGAATGAGATTAACACGCATCTATCTTGGTTTTTTGCATGATATCATGGATAAGCAAGATCACATTAGAATAAGAGGATCCCCCTTTCTCCATAGCTCTTTTAGCCATCTCTGCAAGCTCTCGTATCCTTTTTCTTCTTTCTTCACTTTCACTTGTCACATCCATTATCTCTACTATTGCCCTTTCAATATCTTCCTTCTTCACTTGCACACCAATTTCCACTTCCTCGCCCCATTTGATAGGGATTTCCACCCCAACCTTTACTCCAACTTTTAGAACCTGCACCACTTGACTTTCATTCAAAAACTGATCTGCAAATAGTGGCCATGTAACCATTGGCACTCCTGCACATATTGCTTCCAAGGTAGAGTTCCAACCACAGTGTGTTATGAATCCTCCAATAGCAGGGTGCGATAATATTAACAATTGAGGGGCCCAGCCCCGAATGAGAAGGCTTCTACCATTTGTCCTTTCCTCAAATCCATATTCCTCAATCCACTTTTCCAATGCTTCTGAATGACTTCCTTCCCTGATAACCCAAACGAAGGGTCTTTCTGATGCTTCCAAGGCCAAACCAAGCTCTATCAACTGGGGTGTTGCTAAATTACATAGGCTTCCAAGACAAACATAGATTACAGTTCCTGTCTTCTGACAATCAAGCCATTTTAGATGTTGAGACACATCGATTGAAGCCCTACCTCTTTGAGCCTTATCCAAGTGATCCTTGTTAATAAGTGACACAGGACCTATACACCACAATTTGTCACGTCTGACCTTCTTGTAATCTGTTGCATACGCTGGCTCCAACTCTTCAAAAGAATTCATGATTACTCCGTAAGTAGCGATTTCAGCAGCCATAATTTCACTGCCAAACTCTTTCCAGCTTTCATTCATCGGTTGTTCAGCCTGTGCCTTTGTAATCTCAATTTTGTCAGCTATTCCAGGCACAACAAAGTACTCGGAGTCGGATTTTATGCTCTCTATAACATTAAAGATTCTTATATTATGCTTACACAGAAGATAAAAGCAACTTACTCCGACAAAGGAAATCCTTGGAATTTTGAATCTTTTGGCGATATGGTTTGTATACGGTAAGCACATATCAGAGATGATGCAGCTTGGCGGTGGTGTTAACTCTTCAAATAGTTTTTCCACCGGTTTTTGTAGAAGGCTTGTTGCTTTGAAGAAACTTGTGGCCGTGGCTAGTGAAGGTATCATGTCGAGATTCTCACACCCATCTGGTACTCCTGCTTCTTCACATGGGAACTGAACTTGAACTAATCTAATAGGGAATCCAGACTCAACATAACGATCAAAGATTGATGTGAAACGAGCTGCGTTATGTGGCGTGGTGACTACAGTCACAGTAACAGTGCATTGCACTAATAATTTTGCGATGTCCATCATGGGGATCATGTGGCCTTGGGCCATCAATGGAAACAGGACAAAGTGTGGCCTTGTTTCGTGGCAAGGCATAGTTTTGCAGTGGAATGATGTACAAGAATGAATTCAATGTTTCATGTTGTGTATTGTAAGACTTACATATGTAATGCTTTATTACTGAATGTTCATGTAAGCGCTTACGTAAGCATGTATGTAAGTTGATTGTTAGACAATGGTGAGTCAAGTCTCTGGCCTTTTTGTCTGCTTAATTTCAAAAGAAATGATTAATTATTACAAAGATTAAATTACTAGGAAATATTATTAATAATTTTTTAATTGCTTTCTCAAACTAAATAGATATATCTTCTAAAATGATAATTTTTAAAAAATCTTCTTTATATTATAAGTATTTTAATATAATAAATTGTTTTAAAATTCGCAAGTAATTGAAAAATCTATTTGTAATGAAACCTAGTTAAACATTTGTATGGAAACGAGAATTAATACATTTTCTATTATTAGTGTCCAGTGTACATGATAGTGACGATGAGAATAAGTACACACTACTACTACCATGTAAATCACGTCGTACATACGTGTAGACAAATTCTGACATGTATGAAACAATAGTAATTAACGCATGATCCAAAGTTTTCAACGTTCTGGGCTTAAAATTTAGGCCTGCCACAATCAATGATCAAAGCTTTAAAAAAGAACATACTAGATATTCTAATCGAGATTATTATTATTATAAAATTTAAATAAAGCTTTATTAAAACTTACGCACAGTGGCCGTGTATTCAAAATCACAGAAAAAATTACCCAGTCAAGTTGTTTTCATCTCTATACAACTTCTATAATTAATCTTTAGATTTTAAAATTTAATAAATATATTATATATAATAAGTAGACAATTTTACCATATTTTTCAACTTGAATATACATTATATTAAATAATATTTTGTTTAAACTTTTTAAATGTATACATGTTTAATAAAATATTAAAAACATATTATATTTATTGAATATTCATGTTTAAATATTTAATTATGTTATTTAATTAAACCATATATTTAATAAACTTGATATTAATTGTTATTGGACAGTAAACTTTGCTTATTCATATTATTGATCGCGCATAGTATTTATGCAATATAGTAATCAAATAAATAATATTATTGAGTAGTATATTTGTTAATTATAGTAAGTATAATATATGTTTATTGAACATAACTTGCTTTCACCTCTCCCTCTCTCTCTCTATGTATATATATTAAAAATTATTTTGAAAAGAAGAAGTAAATGTTACAAAAATTAATTTATACATATACATATAATGATATCTGTTAATATTGTATTGTTTATAGTTAAATAAATTAGATTATAAAAACACTTAAAATGTTAAAATTCAATATATTAATATAATATTTGTTAATTTGATAATATATATTAGTATTTCTCTCACTAATGTCAAACTTAAGATACGATTACAAAAGGAAAGAAACAATAATATGTAACAAGTGAAATACACTAAACACACATAGTTTCAATGGTTTGCTTTTTAGGATTTTGATTTGATTGTTTTCTTTTATCTGTTGGTATTTGAACACCCTAATTTCGCGATTATCATAGCTTAGACAGCAATAATTGTTCTAATAGTTGTCTAATGTGGAATAAAAAAGGGGTTTTTCAGAAGCACTTTCTAATGTGCAAAACAAGTTTATTTCTTCATCAATCACCATCCTACCAAACTAACCAAAATGATGCGATTATAAACTCGGGATACCGTCACCTCCTTGTCTATTCGGTATTTGATTGTTGAATAATGTCTTGAATAAGCAAAGTGATGTCAAGATGAGAAGACCCTCCTTCTTCAACAGCTCTCTTTGCCTTCTCACTCAGTTTGCTGGCTCTTTCTCTTCTCCCTTTGCCTTCTTCTCCATCATCATCCATCACCATGCACATTGCCCTCTTAATATCATCCTTCTTCACCAACACACCTATCTTCTCTTCCTCTCCCCACTTCATTGGAACCTCTACCCCAACGCACCAATCTTCAACACTTGAGTAACAAGTTTCTCATTTAAAAAATGATCACCAAATAGAGGCCAGGTAATCATTGGCACTCCAGCACTTATCCCTTCAAGAGTTGAATTCCAACCAGAGTGTGTAAAGAATCCTCCAACGGAAGGGTGTAAAGGATATGAGAGAAGAGAGAAAGAAAACAAAAGAGATATATCTTTTATTGTATATATGAAAGAGTAATACACTCTTTTACACAGGGTCAGAACACGTGCATGAAATGAAAAAAACAGAACGTAACTGTCATATCATAAACAGTTATTATATTTGACTTATTTACAAACACCAATACACCTCCCTAAGCCAAATTCACTTTATGCTAGTTACACCAATTAATTTTCTCAGTATTTTAAACCTATCACCTTTTAATGCCTTTGTTAGTATGTCTGCACGCTGCAAATCAGAACTGCAGTATTCAATTTTCAAGTTACCATTGCTGACTTGTTCCCTTATGTAATGAAATTTGGTCTCTATGTGTTTACTCCTTCCATGAGATGCTGGATGTTTTGTAAGATTAATTGCTGACTTGTTATCTACAAGTAGCTTCACTTTCTCTGTCATTTCAAATTTCAACTCCTTTATCAATGAACTTAGCCAAGCAGCTTGGCAAGTTGCTTCACAGGCTGAAACATATTCAGCCTCACATGATGAGAGTGCTACAACAGATTCCTTCTTCGAAACCCATGATATTGGTGCTTCTCCTAGAAAGAAAATATATCCTGCTGTGCTTTTCCTGTCACTTTTGTCACCACACCAATCAGCATCAGCAAATGCAATAATCTTCAGATTCTCACCTTGTTTCACCTTAGGCAGCAAAATTCCAAAACCATGCGTCCCTTGTACATAGCGTAAAATACGTTTTGCTGCATTTAGATGTGACACCCTTGGACTCTGCATAAATCTACTGATAAGCCCCACACTATAACACATATCAGGCCTGGTATTACAAAGATACCTTAGGCATCCTACAATCTTCCTGTATTCAGTTGGATCTACAGCTTCTTCTTCTGGTTCCTTTTCCAGTTTTAACCCCACCTCCGCTGGTGTGCTAGTAGCATTGCACATATGCATCTCTAGCTTCTTCAACATATCATTTGCATAGCGAGATTGATGCATTACCAATCTTTCTTCAGTTTCTGTAAATTCAATACCTAGGAAGTAACTCAACCTTCCTAAGTCACTCATGTCAAACTCACACAACATCTTGGCTTTAAACTCTTGTATCAACACATCACTGCTGCCTGTTACCAGTAAGTCGTCTACATAGAGACAAACTATGAGCTTTCCTATCTGATTAACCTGCACATAGACACCATGTTCAGAGATACATTTATCAAACCCGATACTGCTCATGAACGCATCTATTCGTTGGTTCCAAGCTCTCGGGGCTTGTTTGAGCCCATATAGAGCTTTGTTTAATTTATACACCATATGCTGCTGCTCCTTCTTTTCAAACCCTTGAGGTTGCATTACATACACTTCTTCTTCTAACTTGCCATTTAAAAACGCTGATTTTACATCCAACTGATGTAAACTCCAATGTAACTGAGTTGCAATTGACACCACCAGTCTAATGGTCTCAATCCTGGCAACATGTGCATACACTTCCCCATAATCAACTCCAGCCTTTTGTAGAAAGCCCTTTGCCACCAACCTGGCTTTGTATCTGATTACAACACCTTGTGGGTTAACTTTAGTCTTGTACACCCACTTTAAGGCTATTGGTTTCTTCCCTCCAGGTAACTCAATTAATTTCCATGTTTGATTCTTCTCGATTGACTCAATTTCTTCCACCATTGCCTTTCTCCACCTCTCATCGGTTATTGCTTGATCAAACTCAACAGGTTCAGATTCTGCTATGAGTGCATAGTGAACGAGGTTACCTTCAGCCGTGACAGTGGCATCATAAAACAGCTCATAATCTCTCAGGTGTGCTGGCATTTGAACATTTCGTGAAGATCTTCTCAGTCTCTCACCACGTTGCTTACTGTCTGAATCAGATTCATGAGAAGCTAGCTCATCCTCAAGCACAATTGTAGATTCTCCTTGTTGAACTGTCTTCCAGTTCCATGTACTCCCTTCATCCACTACCACATCCCTGCTAACAGTTACTTGACTTATTTCAGGATTGAACAACTTATAACCACCGGTGTCATGGTAACCAACTAGAATGAATGGTATGCTTTTATCATCTAACTTCTTTCTCAGCTCATCTAGAACATGTTTGTAATAGATTGCACCAAAAACTCTCAAGTGTTTAACACTTGGTTTTACCCCAGTCCACGCTTCTTCTGGTGTGATCTCCTTCAATCTTTTGGTAGGTGTTCTGCTTAGAATATACGTGGCTGTCATCACAGCCTCACCCCATAATGACTTTGGCAAGCTTTTGCTCTTCAACATGCACCTCACCATATTCAGTATGGTCCGATTCTTTCTCTCAGCTGTTCCATTATGTTGTGGTGTATATGGAGGAGTCTTCTCGTGTATGATGCCTTCATCTTCACAAAATTTGTAAAACTCATGTGAAGCGTACTCTCCTCCGCCATCGGTTCTTAAAAGCTTCAACTTGCAATCACTCTGCCTTTCAACCATGTGCTTAAATTTTTTAAACACCTCCAGCACTTCACTCTTCCTTTTTAGCAGATATGACCAAGTTTTCCGGGTCCAATCATCAATAAACACCACAAAGTACTTGCTGCCTCCTGGAGTTTCTACTTGGATTGGACCACATACATCAGAGTGATCCATCTCCAACTTCTCTTTTGACTTCAAAGGTAGCAACTTTTGGAAACTCCCACGCGTTTGCTTGCATTCCACACACTCCTTACATACTGAGTTTGGTATTGTAACCAAAGGCAGCCCCGTAACCATTCTACAATGGCTGAGTTTGGACAAGTCACGAAAATTAAGATGTCCAAACCGCAAGTGCCATAACCATTCTGAGGCATTTTCTGTTGCAGCGAAACATTGATGCTTTACAGCATTCATTACCACACGGAATGTCCTATTTTGGGACAGATTAGCTTTTATCACAAGCTTCCTATTTTGATCAAATATGCTGAGACACCTATCCTCCATTGTCATCACAAAGCCCTTCTGTAGAAGTTGACCAAGACTTAACAAGTTAGTCTTTAATCCTGGCACGTATAATACCTCCTCAATCACAACCTCTCTTCCATCATCACCCCGTAACACAACCCTGCCAGACCCCTCTGCATTAAGGCTCCTGTCATCAGCAAATTTTATCCTCCCATGAGTTACTTCCTTTATTTTGACAAACCATTCTCTGTTGCCTGTCATGTGGGTTGAGCAACCTGAATCTAAGTACCACGATGCTTCTTCAGGTTTATCAACATCAATTCTGGTCATCAACATTACTGCTTCAGAATCTGACGTATCATCTTGTGCTAGGTTAGCATGATTCTTCTGTTTACTCTTTGCTCCATCACCTTTCCAACACTCTTTAGCAAAATGACCAAACTTCTGGCAATTATAGCATCTAACCTTCTTCTTGTCAAACTTCCACTCCTTTTCTCCATCAAGATTGGTGCAAGACTTGTAGTTCTTGTGGTTGACAGCATCAACTTCATTGCCTTCTTTCTGCTCTTGCGCATCTTTCTGTTTTGAACTACCTTTACCAGCGTGCTTCAGCCCCTTTCTTTTTCCTTTATACTGAGAACGTGCCTGCAAGACTTGTTCTTGACAGTGTCTTCTCTCATTCATTCTGTACTCATGAGCTTCCAGGGAGTGTTGTAATTCTTCCAACTCTATTGCTTCAAGATCGCGTGTTTCTTCGATTGCTACCACCACATGATCGAAACGTTGTGACAGTGTTCTTAATATCTTGTCTACTACATACTGATCTGAGACACTGGCTTTGCATGAACGCATTGCATTGACATGCTCTTGCACCTTATCAAAATACTCAGCCACAGTTTCACTCTCATCCATGGTCAAGAGCTCAAATTGTCTCCGCAAGGTTTGTAATCTCACCTTTTTATTTTTGTCTCCGTCACCATAGGTCTTCATCAGAATCTCCCAGATATCCTTAGTAGTGGCTGCTTTTGAGACTTTGTTAAAGATCTTTGAAGTAACGCATTGATAAATCAAGAAACGTGCTTTACTATCCAATTTCTGCTGAGCTTTCAACATTCTCTTTTCTTCATCAGTGGCCTTTTCTCCTAGTTCCATCACTCCTTCACTCACGATATCCGCAACATCTTGAAAACCAAAAATGGCTTGCATTTTGATACGCCAATCATTGAATAACTTGCCATCAAACATCGGCAGAGGTCCTTGTACCATTCCTCCCATACCAGTCATTCACTTTTTGAATCTCGATCAAAACTTCAATGGACTTTCACGCGTCTGCACCTCCTCAAAAATCTTGACCAAGTACCAACCAAGAATTCTCACTGCATGTTACTCTGTATGTCACTCACTCTCTCACACAACCCTTCGTAACTTCCTACCACACACTATATACCACTAGTGTATTGCTTTCCCGTGATCGAGCCTTGCTCTTGATACCATAAAGGATATGAGAGAAGAGAGAAAGAAAACAAAAGAGATATATCTTTTATTGTATATATGAAAGAGTAATACACTCTTTTATACAGGGTTAGAACACGTGCATGAAATGAAAAAAACAGAACGTAACTGTCATATCATAAACATTTATTATATTTGACTTATTTACAAACACCAATAGGGTGTAATAATATTATTACTTGTGGAGCCCAACCTCGAATTATAATGCTTCTCCCTTTGGTCCTTTCCTCAAACCCTTGTTCACAAATCCACTTTTCGAACGCCTGGATTCACTTCCCTCCTTAATAACCCATATAAATGGTCGTTTAGTATCTTCCAAGGCCAAGGCCATCTCCACAAGTTGTGCAGGAATCAAGTTGCATAAGCTTCCAAAACAAACATAGACTACAGACTTGGGTTGCTGCAAATCTAGCCACTTCGAGCAATGGTGTTCATTAATCGAGGCATCTTTGCCTCTTTGAGCCTTATCCAAACTATCTTTGTTACATAATGAAACTGGACCTATGCACCAAAGTTTATCGTTTCTCACCTTCTTCTAATCCCTCACATATGCTTTCTCCAACTCTTCAATAGTATTTATGATTACCCCGTAAGACTTCATTTCAGCATCACGCATCTGCTCCTTAAGGTCATTGATTTCTTCTTCATTTGCTTTTGGGATCATTAGAGGTTTCAGCTCTTTGGTAACTTGAATTTGGTCAGGTATGTTAGGAATAGAGTGTTGGTAACAGGAAACGAAACAACACTCTCAATATTACTCCAACCACTAAACTACTTGTACTTTTTTAATAATAACTTACAAATTAATTATATTTATATACAAATAAATATATATATCCGTGTAAATGTATATTTATTTATATTTTTTGGAAAGTGTTTTTATTTTTTTCAGCCAAAAATTCACTTAAGTTAGAGAGAATTATCAATTATAAGATTCGAACCCGAGTATTTTATAATTGAAAACTGATACTCCAACCACTAAATGACTTGTCATTTTCGATAATAAATTACAAATAAATTATATTTATATACAAATAAATATATATCCGTGTAAATATATATTTATTTATATATATTTTTTGAAAAGTGTTCTTATTTTTTTCAGTAAAAAATTCACTTAAGTTAGAGAATTGTCATGATAGGATTCGAATATAGTATTTTAGAGTTGAAAATTGATACTCCAACCACTAAACTACTATAATTTTTTGATAATAATCACTACAAGAAAATTGCGTATTACTGATCGGATATTTACCGACGGAAATTATCGACGGATATAAAATATTTGTGGAATTTGATCTTACCGACGGATATATCCATCGGTAAAATAATAATTAGTTACCGACGGATATATCCGTCGATAAATCCATCGGTAATTTACATATGAATTTACCGACGGATATATCTGTCGGTAAATCCGTCGATAAATTAACAATTAATTAAACCCTAAACCCTAAATTAACAATTAGTAAATATTCACCTAATTAAAAAATTAAATATTTTTTATTTAATAATTTAATTTAATCATAATTAGATTAATTTATGATAATTTCTTAAATTAAATAATTTTAAAAAATAAATATTTAATTATATATAAATATATAAATATATAAATATATAAATATATAAATATATAAAAATATAAAAATATAAATATATAAATATATAAATATATAAAAATATAAAAATATAAAAATATAAAAATATAAATATATAAATATATAAATATATAAAAATATAAAAATATAAAAATATAAAAATATAAATATATAAATATATAAATATATAAATATATAAATATAATTTATTTGTGAATTATTATCAAAAAATTCGGTAGCTTAGTGGTTGGAGTATCGACCTCTAACTCTAAGGTATTGGGTTCGAATCCTGCCAATGACAATTCTCTTAATCGATAATAGTGGAAGACTATAAAAATGTAATAAGGGAAAATAATTAATAATAAAAAAATAAAGGGAAGGATTTCTATAAAACAAATAAGCTATATAAGTAAAATATTTAATAAATAATAAAAATATTACCAACTGATTCTTGTTCATCGGTAATTTTGTAAAACATTTAGCGGTCGATATATCCGTTGGTAATATTTACTTGACAATCTGAATTTCAGACGGATTTTGATCGTCGGTAATATTAAAATTTCTTGTAGTGAATTTACAAATAAATTATATTTATATATTTATATATTTTTATGTTGGATGTGAGGGCGCGTTCGAGGGTGAAAGTGAGATTGACTCTCGCTTGAGTGAAAATACGTTAAAGCTCATGGAAATTCACTCGCTCAAGCCTAGCTTGAGCGAAAATTGGTATTTTTCGCTTGAGCGAATGATGCGTTTTCCAAATTTATTTTATATAATTATATAAATAAATTATAAATATTATATTCTATCATTAAATTACAAACACATATAAAGAGACTCGCTCACAAATTTGACATCAAAATTTGAAAACTCACTCGACACACACTTTCACCTTCGAGCGTGCCCTCACATCCAATATATAAAAATATATTTGTATTTATATATTTACACGGATATATATTTATATGTATATAAATATAATTTATATGTAAGTTATTATAAAAAAATTTGAGTAGTTTAGTGGTTGGAATATCGACCTCCAACACTAAGGTACTGGGTTTGAATCCTATCGGTGACAAAAAATTAATTTGGTAATGCTTTAAACTTCAAAAAAATATGATTAATAATAAAAATATAATATAAAAGAGAGGGGGTATTTCTAGATAAATAGAGGGGTTGGAAATAAATAAAAAAATTTGATTTGAAAAATCAGACTTTCCACGTCGATTAAATAGAACCAACAACTTTCAACGTCGCTTGATACAATTATTCCAATAAGCCTTTTACAACTCTCCAGCAGTGTAGTTGACAGTGGTTTGGTGAATATGTCAGCAGCTTGAGCTCGGCTTTCAACATGCTCCAGCTCAACCTTTCCTTCTCTTACTTGTTCTCGGATAAAATGAAATTGAACGTCGATGTGCTTGCTCCTTCCATGATTAGCCGAGTTCTTTGCCAACTCGAATTACATTCCTTTCGTCTTGGATCACTCTCAGATGCCTTAGTAGATTTGAAAGTCAAACTGCATGACACACACTCCAAGAGGCTGCAACATACTCGGCCTCACAGGTTGACAAAGTTACAATGAGTTGCTTCTTTGACAGCTAAGTAAAAGCTGTCTTTCCGAGTAGGAACACATAACCTGAAGTACTTTTTCGGTCATCAACATCACCACACCAATCAGTATCTGAGTAACCCACTAGTCGGTAGTCATCCAATTTTGAATAGAAAAGACCAAGTGATAAGGTTCCTCGAACATATCTCAGAATTCTCTTTAAGGTCTTCCAATGTGTGTAGCTTGGATTCTCCATGTATCAGCTCGTTATCTCAACACTCAGTATTAGATCGGGTCTTATGCTTGTAAGGTACCTCAGACTTCCGATTAAGCTTCGATATCTCCCAGAATCAGCTCATTCTCCTCTATCGAACTTTGAGAGTTTAGTGCCCGGTTCCATTGGAGTAGAAACCGGGTTGCAGTCCTCCATTTTAAACTTCTTTAAAATTTCAAGCACGTACCTCTCTTGGGATATAAAAATTCCTTCCTCTGACTGTTTCACTTCTAGGCCAAGAAAATATTTCATCAGCCCTAAGTCTGTCATTTCAAACTCTTTTTTCATTACCTCCTTGCACTCCTTAATTAGCTTCGTATTGCTTCTGGTGAATATGAGATCGTCGACATAGAGAGCGACTACCATCATATCCTTTTCTGATTTCTTTGTGTACAAAGCATGTTCGTATGGACATTATTCATACCCATTTTTCTTGAAATACCCGTCAATTCTCTCATTCCAGGCACGAGGAGCCTGCTTCAGCCCATAGAGAGCTTTTCTTAATCTCAACATCTTTTTCTCATCCCCTCTCTTCATGTATCCAAGTGGTTGCTCAACATACACCTCCTCCTTCAGCACTCCATTTAGAAATACCGACTTCACATCCATCTGTAGAATCGACAATTGGTTCTGAGCAGCTAATGAGATCAGAAGTCGGATTGACTCCATTCTCGTGGCAGGAGCAAATATTTCATCATAGTCGATTCCCTCCTTTTGTCTATAGCCCTTCACCACAAGTCGAGCCTTGTAACGTTCAACCTCTCCCTCAACATTCATCTTCTTTTTGTACACCCATTTTACTCCAATGTGTCGAGCTCCTTTAGGAAGGTCAGTCAGTTCCCAAGTTTTGTTACGTTCAATCGCTCCAATCTCCTCATCCATGACTGTTCTCCACTTCTCATCTTGGACAACTTTCTCAAAATTCAAGTCTTCAGAGTCAGCCAGAAGACATACAATATGAACTTCATTTGTAGTGTCATATATTTTCTGCAAACTTCTCATTTTGGGCTGTTGTGGCTCTATTTCTTTATCTGAGGACTCAATAGTTGTTATTGTTGAAGGCAAAACAATTTCTGAACTAGTTTCTTCTTTTGTCGGGTTACTCCAGCACTAATGCTTTGTTTCTTCCACGTGAACATCTCGACTTACCACCACTTTATTATTAACAAGATCAAACAATTTATAGACTTTAGATTTTCCATCATACCCGATAAATATGTACTTCTTACTCCGATCTTCTAATTTAGTCTTGTGCATGCTACCAAACACCTTCAGCTGAGAGCCACTCGGCTTCATACCACTCCATATCTCTTGAGGCGTCTTCTCACCTAGCTTTGCATGTGGACATCTATTTTGCAAATAGACTGTGCACTGCACCGCCTCTGCCCAAAATTTCTTTGGCATATTCTTCCCTTTCAACATAGATCGAACCATATTAAGAATGGTTCAATTCTTTTGTTCTGCTACACCGTTTTGGCTGCGGAGAATATGGGACAGTCAAGAAATGTTTGATCCCATGTTCCTCACAGTATTTGTTGAACTCAGTAGAAGTGAACTCGCCTCCTCAGATCGGATTACTTTGATGACTTTGCTTGTTTCTTTCCCCACCGTCACTTTGAATTTCTTGAAAGTTTCAAACACTTCTGACTTCTCGTTCAGAAAATAAACCCATGTTTTCCTTGAAAAATCATCAATGAAAGCGACGAAGTATCTCTTACCACTGAAATATTCTGGAGTTATTGGCCCACACAAATCAGTATGGATCACTCCGAGTTGCTGCTTTGCTCGACACTCAGAACTTCTTGGGAAAGAAGTTCTCGCTTGCTTCCCAATCACACATTCTTCACAAAACCTTTTTTCGAATTTCATTTTAGGCATTCCGAGCACCATCTCCTTTTTCACCAGTGCAGTCAACCCACCGAAGTGAAGATGACCAAACTGAAAATGCCACTTCATGGCCTCATCCTCCATATCAAGTTGCATGCATTTATCTTGAACTGTTTTCAGCTCAAGTTTGTACAGGCGATTTTTCTTCATTTCCACCAAAGCAATAAGCCTCTCAAATTTATCCTTCAGTTGTAGTTCTCGGTCTCATGCTCAATATGTTGCTTTTGAGATCAAGTACGTAATATACATCTTTGATCTCTCCAATTTGCCCATTTCTTTGTTGATACCAGATCGTTCCTTGACCTTTGACAGTTACTTTCGAAGCATCACCGAAAGAAACAGATCCGAACTCCACCTTTGAAAGTATTCTGAATAAGCGCTTGTCACCACACATGTGGTTACTAGCGCCAGTGTCCAAGTACCAAATCGAGTTATTAGAACAGTTCGGTTTGACCTCAGTTTCTGAATTGTTTGTAACCATCAACAATCCTTCATCTTCTTCCTCAGTAAGAAAGTTTGTTGGTTCCTCCTTTTTCTTCTCGGACCTACAATCTTTAGAAATATGACCCAGTTTTCCACAATTATAGCATTTTACGGAGTAACAGTCCTTGGCAACATGCCCATTCTTTCCAAAATTATAGCATTTTACCGAGTAACAATCCTTTGCAATATGTTCATTCTTCCCACAATTATAGCATTCAATATTGTTTGTGTTTGTCCGGTCACCCCGAGCTTGTCCTTGGCCACGTCAGTTTTGCTGACCGTCTTGCTCATTTCCTCGTCCTCCTTTTCCTCTACCACCACAACCTCTGCCTTTTTCTCGGCCTCTGGTACTCTAAGCATAGAGCACCTTCTCCTCTTTTATTGTCGCCTTTTCCTGGAGAGCCTGTTCAAGGGACTCCCCCTTGTTTTTTCTTCTCTGCTCATGCGCTTTTGGGGACCCAGCAAGCTCTTCAAGGGTGAGCGTTGATAGATCCTTGGACTCCTCTATTGCACACACGATGTTCTCAAAATCATTTGTCAATGATCTCAAGATTTTTTCAACAACTCGGTTTGATGAAAGACTCTCATCATTCTGATTCAGCTTGTTCACCACGGTATCCACCTGAGTAATGAACTCGGATACGCTATCAGGCTCTTTCATCCTCATGTTTTCCAGCTCACCCCTAAGGGTTTGAAGTCAAACTTGTTTCACCCGTTCATCTCCTTTGTTTGCTTTTTCAAGTGTATCCCATGCTACTTTGGAAGATTTTGCATTAGCTATCTTCTCAAAGTCGGATTCATCGACGACTCGATATAATAGATACAGAGTCGCCTTGTCTTTAGTTTGAACGACCTTCAATGCGTTCAGTTGGGCATTTGAATACCCATCTGTGTTCGCTGATTCCTCATACCCATTCTTGACCACATCCCAGTTATCTTGGGACCCGAGAAGAACCTTCATTTGTACCTTCCAGTTATCATAGTTGGCGCCTTTCATCAACTTGGGTAGCGAGATGCCATTGGTTAGACCTGTCATTTCCTCTCAAGTGTTTGCACTCAACTCACACACCTCATAAAGCTTTGAGTCGCTCCTCTCACAAGCTCTAATGCCAATTTGTTGGTAACAGAAAATGAAACAACACTCTCAATATTTGTCCTGATACTATTTCAAATGAGTTGTTACAAGTATTTATGGCCAAAATATTTGTCTCTTCAAATCTCAAAAGTAAATCATGATACCTATTGAACAAGTTTATAATCCATTCGTTATATCACTTTAATTAAAATCATTAATATTATTTTAAAAATACTAATGGTGTAATTTAAGTTTTATAATATAGAGAAGTACTTAGATTCTGAAGTGATGCTTTCATAAACCTTTGATGTCTGTACCATCCATGTGCACGCAGTGGAGGGAGAAGCAAGAAAATACGTTGAACGAAATCCTTGGAATATGATACTTTTCAACTACTTTAGCGGTCCAAGAAATGCAAAAGTCAGAGATTATGCAACTTGGTCTGGGTGTTAGTGCTTCAAACAATTCCTCCGTTGGCTTTTGGAGCAAGTTGATGGCGTTGAAGACTTTAAAAATCATATTGCTTGAAGGGACCATGTCGAAATTCTCACACCCTTCAGGTAGTCCTGCATCTTTTGCTGGAAAATGAAGTTGTATAAGCCGGATTTGGAGACCGTATGAAACAGCACGAGAAAGAACATTATGGAAACGTGAAGCATTTTTTGGGGTAGTGAATATGGTAACAATGTGTTTCTGGTGAAAATTTGGTCGATTTCGATTTCTTAGGTTCTAATCAAATTTCAACCACGTAGATTCTTTTTACTTAGGCTAGCGACAATTTTCAATCAAAACGTGTATGAGAATCGAAAATGTCACAAGATCGAGAAATGTTATCGATGCAACTGATCATACAAATTGAAAATCGAAAGTACTCTTTTTGGTATTTTTATTAAGAAACGCGAAGTAAAGAAAGCAGTAAAAGGTATCGAAAAGAAACAAAAACAGTGCGAAATATTAGAATACAGGGAATTGTGAATGCGAAAAACTTGAAATTGCATTAACTGTAAATGACAGAATTAAAATTGCATGAAAGTAAATGACAGGACGTCGAAATTGCAGAAATGGTAAATGGCAAGCATTTGAAAATATAAAATCTTAAATTGCATTAAAGATAACTGGCAAGTAATTGAAAGTATGGAAACTTAAATTGATGAATGTAAATTGCCTGAAAATAAGTTACCAGGGAAAGTAAAGAAAGCGGTAAAAACAGTCAATGAGAATGGAAATCCAGATCGCCAGAAACTTCATGATTCGTCGTTCTCCGGTAGACTTTTCACTTATGTTTCTGTTGTATCTGCCAATTTCCCCTTCTTCTTCCAGTTTCGTTCTATTTATAGGCATCCTTCAATGTAACCTCCCAAGAGCAGTTAAAAAAAACTGTCACCACGTTCCATGTGCACGTTCCTCGATTTTTACCTTAGCCTACGGTTTAGAAAACCGCTTCCACGTTCCATGTGCGCTTTAACCGTTTCCCTCGATCTCGATTCCAGTTATCGAGTATCATTTCCCTTAACCTTAACTTTACACTCCATTCTTTATTATCGATTTCTTACTTTCATCGAATTTCCTCTATCTTCTGATTCTCGATTTCCATTCTCGATTTATGTGTTCATACTGTCTCGTGGTCATCAAATGTCTTCCAACCATCTTTTCGATTTATCAACTTTTTAACCAATCATATGATCTTCGATTTTCTCTCTTCCGTTTTTCGATCCTTGTATCGATTTTTCATTAACAAAATGCCCCCTTGGAAGAATATAAACATTTGTACTAATTTTATATTCTTTCAAAATCAAATCCCGCCCTTAAACACTCTTGAAGCTCAAAATAATTTTTTAGGGTTTAGGGTTTCTAGGGTTTTTTAGGGTTTTTAGGGTTTTTGCTGCTTTATGTCAAATATCAAATCACATCACCTCCCACTATCACAACACGCACGCCATGTATTAATTACCCTCTTCATATTCGTCGTTTCAAATACCCTAGTCGGCCTCTTTAAATATTCCAATCAATTTTACCCTTGTTTTTTACCAAGAACCTAACCCATCTTTCTTCGTCACACCTTTTCTCCGTCTTCACCCTTTCCACAACTGTAATGGCGACTTCCAAATCCTCCGACTTCTCCACCCCACCACTTTCATCGGTAACTTCGACTATAATAGAGATAAATGGTAAAAAGTTTGCTCCAGTTCCCTTGTTGGAAGAAGCCTCGCAAAAAATTGTCGAGACTCAGGTACTTATCCCTTACGCAGTTGATAGCGTAGATTATGCATTTGGTGGTCTCATCCGCTATTGTGGTGGATCGTTTTCCTCTTCTATCTGTCTTCCTTCAGAGAGTAAGGCCCTTATTCATAAATCCGAGGTACAAATTGATTTTCTAAATGCTGTTTCGAAAGTATATCGAACGGGCCCTCCCCATAAGAAATCTTTATACATCAGATGGTTTGATAGAGTAAAGACTAAGTTTGGGAATCACTGGAGAGATGTAGGGATTTTCGATTTTCTACATCTATCTCGATGCGATCTTTCGTTCTTGGATATGTCTATGTTTTTATCCGTGGTCCATTTATGGAATAAAGATTTACACGCAATGGAGCTTCCTTGTGGTCCTCTTTCTCCCACTCTTTTTGAGGTCACTGCAATCACCGGATTAAAGCCCACAGGGGAAAAATATTTTAAGAGTGCTTTCCCTTCAGATGACTCTCTCAAATAAAAAATCGACTTGGATTCGAAAGCCTATGGACACTTCATCGAAAAACATTTTATTGATGATCAATCGGTAGCTGTTTCTGATGAAGAACATGTTGCTTTTCTGGTGTATTGGCTTTGTACCCATGTATTTTGCCCTAGATCCATCCAAATCTCATCCCATTTCTATAATCTTGCTTATCTCCTCCACACTGGTCAACCCTGAGTTTGTTTGGCGAAACTTTTACTGGCCCATGTTTATACCACTTTCGATGAGGCTGTCGATATTCTGAATACACAAAGACCCTCGGGGAATTTCTCAGGTCTCATCTGGTTCATTCAGTTATGGCTCACTTCGATTTTTGAAAGTATCCTTTCCCCCAACATCCAAAGTTTCCCCAAGTTTAAATTTAGAAGGTGCTCGATTATCGTCTCGACATTCTCATCAAAAATCCTCCGATGAGGCTAGTTATCGAACTTACCTAAAATTTTTGTTAACTCAATTTCATTTTGAGTCAAGTCTGGCCCCTTTTACCGTATATCATGGAAAAGTTAGTGACAGACTTCAAGGCCCAACTTGGTTTAAATCAAAATTCCCCGCTCTTACTCCAGGGTTACAATCAGAACTAGTAGATGTATGGAGTAACTATTTGACCCAGGACGTTCTTGTATCGGGCTTCAATCGAAGGATATCCAACTTGTCATCTATTACCCTCAACTTTTTTCGCGGCAGTTTGGCTTAAGTCAAGCTTTACCTTTTTTCACTCTCGATACTTCCCCAAGGTCCAAGTTAAATGAATCGAATGTAGGACGGGAACTTGCCAAACTGTTGCCACAAAGCCCGATGCATTTCTACCCTTATGCTTTTGAATCGAATTACTTGTTTACTCTTGGTTTTTCTCAATGGTGGAACGATTGGTTTTCACGCATTCATTCTGATTTTAACATTATCCAATCGAAATTGACTGCGCATCCTTCTCTCGTGTTGGAGGATAAATCAAAGGCAAAGAAAGGTACATACTCTCATTATCTCCAAATATCTCAATTTGAAAACTTTTATCGAGAATGCTACAACCCTCTTAAATTAGAAGAAACCTTTTACAATGTTGTTATATCCCTAGCTAATAAAACAAACATCAACAGATCAAACCACAAAATAATCAATCCTCGAATAAACACTCTGTTTGAAATGTATTGTTCCAACCATCTTTCCACTTTCCCTACAACCCCTTTTAGAATCGCCAAACCTTTAACCCATCCTAAATGGGTTCGAGAGTTGAGATCCTTGAAAGAAACTATTTCACCAAAACCTAAGAACAAAGAAATTTCGATATCGAAATTGTCCTACTTTTCTTACCTAAACCTTCCTCAACATCTTCTTCCTCCCTGGCTTGTCCATATCGATCGAGTCAAGATTTTAACTCCATCACCTTTTGGTGAGATTTTATTGCATCTTTTAGAAATATTTTTAATTTTCTTCAAATTGTAATCTAACTGTTTTCTTTTCTCGACAGTTTCGAAGCCTCATAAAGTCACCATCTCTGAGAAAGACTGGGAGTCTTCGGATGAATCAGACCCATCTGGCCCCACTAAAAAACGAAAACACTCCGCTACAATTTCTTCATCTTCGAGAAAATCGAAGGTTTCTTTTCGATGCCCTATTATCTTGTTTATTTGACTTCTTTTTCTATAGTTGATTTACTTCTCATTCATAAACAAAAATCAAGAAAGAGTCCTCGAGCCACTCGACCTATCATAAATCCTTTATCGACGGACTCTAATACGGTCAGCAAAGCAGGTCAAACGACACAGACCACTCATTCGAGTCACGTAAGAAGTTTCCCTTCTTTTCATGTATATTTTGTATATTTAGAATTCGACAAGGCTTATAACATGATTCCAAATTTCAATATTTCGGGATCATCCATCTGCTACAGTATCGACAAATGTCGATTGTTTGGTTCAATCGACAGTACCAATTTTAGAGGTAAAGTTTTTTTTTTTAAATCTTGTTTTTCTCGACTCGTTTTATATGTTTCCCTTCTCACCTATATTTTGAATCACAACAACCCGAGGATGTAACCAACCCTTCTCCCGCACCAACGCACCTCGACCCACCTTCTCCTTCTGGTAAAAATGTCTCCCTTGCTGCCTATTTTTTACCTTATTTCTATTAGGATTTTAAACTCATTTTCTCGAACAAATTTATTTCCTTTTCAGATAATATTGTGAATATCCCCACAGTCCAAGTCCAAGATTCCCCTTCGCCATCTCTTGCAGAGCAACCAATTTCCCCTCCTTTTGGGGTTCCGTTTGTCGAGCTAATTTCATCGACATTGCCTGAAATAAGCGATCCTACCCTAGAGGATTTACCAGAATATCGAACTGCTATTGAAGAAGATCTGTCGCCGCCTCCCAAAGAGAGGGCGGTCGGAGCGACGCGATGGTTTTTTCGACCCTCTTTATTTTCGCATTTTTTATTGGTGGTTACAACGTCCTTAGGTTGTCCGATAACCGGGCTAACCGAGAGACGAGGTTTTCGAAAAGTGTCCTTGAGTTGTCCGATAACCGGGCTAACCCAAGGACTTATTTATTTTGGGTTCTATGGAGTCGCCACCGATATTTTTACCATAAACATCGGAAAAGGGGTTTTAAAAAGGCGTTGGTTTTCGAAAACCAACTTGGTCATTAGAACCAGAGTTGGGTAAGGGAGTTAGTTACGAGTAAAGGGAGTATTAGTCCCTTTACGCCGCCCCTTTCGGGTTCCCTATGATAGGCCGGCTATTTTAAATAATAAAACTTGAAAAATTGTGCTTTCACCCTTTTTATTATGCGGAATTTAGATGTATGAC